TACGAATAATTCGCTTCTAGAAGATAGTGAAAAAGAAAATTGTAAATGTCGGCGATCAAAAAGTACTGTAACTATCGCTGAAATACAAACACTTTCAACTAAGTACTAGACAGTACAATGGAAGGAGCAGCATCAAGAGCAGCATTAACATTTGAAAACATCATCAATAGTGCTTTTGTTTTGTTTGAATTCTGAGGAATTTGTAAGGAAAACACTAAATACAGAGATGTCTGTATCATGGTGCCTATATGTGTACGTTTTAATGGTGCCATGTGTAGATTTAATATCAATTGCAACGTTTAATGTTGTTTAAATGTAATGTACCAGTCTATGTGCATTTTTTGAATATTTATTGCTGACGACGTCACCATGAAATATGCAAAATCGCTGGCTGGTTATTGCTAACTTCAGGCGGGTGCACCATGATGACTTTGGTGGTAGTTTAGAAGATGGGTGTCGTATATTCAAATACGTGTTTTTCATGATCGAGTCAAACAATCGTTATACCGGGAGGCGCGAAACAACCGTTTTCGTTTACTTTCCACGATATTTTGAAGCTGCAAACACGATCTTTGTTTATGTCATAAAAGTATGTTTGAATATTACGTTAAATCAATTTAGAAGAGAACTGAAAATAATAAAAATCAGGTGTCAGTACTTTAGTTTGTGTTGGATATTGTATCAGTTCAACAGCGACTGTAATCGTAGCCATGTCCGGCCAGGATACCCCCAACATGGATCGTCCCAGTTGGACAAAAGCGGGACATTCACAAAGTATGTGGTGAGCCATCTCGTCCTCTAACAAGATGGTGATTCTACCAAATCTGAACGTTTCTCTGGGCTGGCGAAAATTTAACATCGCGTTCCACTTTGCCCTGTGCTAGGTTTTGGTGTCTTGAGTGGAAGAGCCGGAACAGATAGATTTAATTAATTATTTTTTACTTATTATCAGTGGTGGTTCCTATTTTTTTTATGAGGAATACACGTAGGAATTCTTGTCAGAGCCAACTTTCTGATGAGAAATTGAGCCACATTTAACTATTTGTTGTTGATGTATGACAAGTGTTTGGTGTGTTAACATGTTTAGAACGTGAAACTATGTCCCCATTTTGAAAGTCTCGTGTAAATTTAAGTGAATCCAAAATAACACTAGGTATACTCTTGACCTATTTATTTAGTTTCCAAACAAAAATGTAGGACTATTGATAATAATTTAATCTAATGTTTGGGTTCAAATATCGTTAATATATACCGTCATATTCCTTAGACGTGGTACAGATTTGTAAGTATTCTCCTATAGTTTACGGTATCTTTATTTAAACCGTTAGATGTAAATAGCGTCCAAAGTACACGTACACTTGGTGAATAAATACAAATCTATCTTTTACGGTGTGTGACGATGATGTAATTGATTTGACACTGAGATGCCATTGCCATTTCAATAATTAATGTTTAGGTACTCATCTGAAATATAAGATCAATGGGATTACATAACAAATCATTATATCTTATTATTACACTTTAGAAATCGGTAGTCTTGACCATTGATCAAGGACTCACTTATTAAGTATACATATACTTGAGCTATAAATGGAAATGAATTAAGTAGTTGGGGAAACTATTTTGCCACACTTTGCCAATCCAAAGGTGGATTATAATTAAATCTGAAAGGCTCTGTATTCTTTAAGTCACTTTTTCTTTCATCGTTTGATTCATTGAATGTCCTATTGTCACACACTAATTCGCAAATTTTATTTATAGGGCGGCCATTCAAGCTATCGCATCTTACTTGGATGCGTTCCAAAAAATCGCAGACTCCGCCACCAATGCCAGAGGTAAGTGCATTTGAACTTTACGTAATCGATATGGAGTTGTTTGTTGAACTGTTCAAACTTTTCTATTATGATATACGAATGGTAAATGGGACGAATGAAATTTACGTTCGTTAGTTCGTTACTTAATAGACTTAAGGTTAGTTTTGCTTTTTTTCTTTTCTTTGAACTATTGAAACGTATTGAAAGGTCTGGTGCAAGGAAAGCTAGAAGGAAAGTGTTCCTTACAAGTCATCGACAGGAAAATGTCCACCATATTCCCCAACACTAAGTCTCTTTTTCACTCACCCTCTTCTTCTTCCAGTATGACAGAAGTTTTCGCAAGTGAACTTACTACGTAATAAAAGAGAACACATACAGTGTGTTACCACTATTATAAAAATATCCATCAAAAGCAACCATTGTCTGATAAACCTATTCAACAGAAGAGATGTTCAATGTTGCACAGTTATACAAGAAACAAATAAATCACGTACATTTTTGTAGTGTCATTTATCACTATGTCTGAGTTATAGGAAATGTCAGCTAAAATTCCAAATTTCGTCGAAATCAGTATTTTTTTGCACTCTCATTTAGGGGTGCGTTGGATCCTCGGTTTATTTGAAAAAAGTGCTTGTTTTGATCCCCTCCACCACCCAATTTTTTTTTCACCCTGAATAGAATTCCCAAAAAAAAGTGGAAATGGAACTGGTAGATTCCATCTGCAATGTGTTCATTTTTCTGATATAATTCTTGTACGAAAACGGGTGAAACGCGTTCGATTTTTTAATATATACCGTATACAAGTCCGGGAACACTAACTTATTGATTGCACAAGAACTAACAATTGTACAGATATCAAGTTTTTTAAAAATTTATAAACATACGATATGCCAACCATGTGTGACCCGGGAGTCGTACATACGGTAATCGAATTCTTGCTATATCCTTCCTAGTATGGCCTCGCCGACTGCAGCAGCCGCTTCCCGTATTCTCTCCTTTAGTTCTTCTACGTCGTCCGACCACGAACTTATATTTTAAAAAAACTTTCGTCAAAATAACGTATACACTGTGTCCAAGATAAGTATGTCTATTGTGGGAATCTCCAAAACCATAGGAAACCAAAGATGCCCAATTAAAGGGTTATAAAACCAGAAAATTTCGATTACTTTCAAAGATATGCTAGAAAAACGATATGTACCGATTTCGGTTTTATTTTTTTCTAACGTCATTTGAACAGATACAAAAAAAATAAAAAACCCTTTCCCATTGCCTCTTTTTGAGAACGGAATGGAGGTCTTTATTGTGTTCTTTTTTTACGCAACATTGCAAAACTACAAGAAGGAGAGCGAAAAGCAATAGGTCACTGAATCGGCAACTATGTCGCTGGTAACGCAAATGTGTCGCGCTGCGAAGTCGGCTAGTGGAAGGGCCCCTAACGCAGCAGAAGGAACGGACGGGCAAAGTTAACGCATTTTTTTTTGGAAATGCGTTTGTTAACGATCGACTAAAGAATAATTAATTATTAAATTAATAAAAACAATTAATTATGCCTACTTGATTAACATATTAAAATAAGTAAAGTGGTTGTATTCTTTGTGCAGTCACAAATATGTGAATAACTTTCTGAAGTGCAATCTGATCTGGCATTCATTTTTATTACACATGGTAAAGAAGATGCCCTTAAAAAACACTTACCTATCCGTTTTAATTGTGTCAATATAGTATCCGTTACATTACGAATAAATGTTTGTAACAACCGAGACGAGCGTAATTTTATTTTTAAACTCTCGTAAAAGGTTAGATCAAAAACAAACCGAACGCCACTCAAACGTAAACTTTCAACTGCTTTTAGAACCTTTCCTTGTTTTCTTAAACCATCTGCCTGTTCTCCGTTATAAATTTATTTTATAGTTTTTTTTTCCTAATTATACCTATACGCAGGCGAGCGTACTCGTATAATAATGAAAGTTTCCTAATGAAATTATATTGGTGGCCCTTAGTAGGTAAACACTGGAATTTCTTCGCGGACAGGGAGAAATATATCATGTCGTAACGAGCGAGGGTTGACATATTATTCTGACACTTGTTCATCTTAATATAAAGAAACGTACTCGGCCTTAACGTATTGTCTACCAGGAGTGAACGTTGCAACATTTCAACTACTTTTCTCGACAGTTTTATTGTTTTTATTATACTGCTGAGAACAAGTTTACCTATATGTTTCCGCATTGTTTTCCTTCGTAATCTAACAACTATGTACTTTAATTATTTTAATGTCATACGTTGTTTGTTATAACACATATGGTAGATTTACTTTGCATTTAATTCTAGTTTAGTGCGTTTTCAACAAAAAAAGCGAAAATTAATTCTTCTCTCATTTTCGCTGCAAGCACATTACTTCCGCATAAATATTTTGAGAAATTTGCTAATGAATCTATATCCCCAAATTTACTGTTGTACTGTTTTTTTTTCGATTATGTGCCGACATTATCGATCGATTTACAGACAGAAATCGGATTTCGAAAAGGCTTCCATGAATCATCTAGTTTTTGAACTTTAATTTTGCCCCAATTTATTAACTAAGTCTTGTTGTGAAAAATGATTTATCCCACAATGGGCTGTTCATTGACGTCACAATGTTATTAAATAAAATGTTTATTTTCATTTAACCAGCCGTTGGTTAGCTGTCCGAAAAAACGTCTTTGTTTATCACCTATTTGCGGTTTGGTTTGAACTGCAATTCACTGACTCGAAAGTGTTCCTTCTGGTAAATTTTATCACCTGTAAATAAACGGCCTTATTACGAATCAAGTTTCTAAAAAATATTTCTTCGTCCCGGAATTAACTGTAATTTGTCTATTCGCACACATAAAATTATTAATATATTGTTGTGTAAACTACAGGGAGGTGTCGTTTCTCTAGGTTGAAACAATGCCGAAGATGAGAGCGAGCGACCCTGTAGTAACTCCGGTTTTCCCATTGCAAATAGCAGTCGAGACATCTTGTTTGTAAAATGCTTCAATTTATTTGATAGAACAGAAGTGGGCGGACGGACAAAACGCAAACAATATCTACCATTTATTTTAATTCTTAAAAAATGCGCTAAAAAATGTATAGAAGATAAATTGTAGAGAACTTATGTGGTGTCCCTTTTACAGCGTTTATGAATAATTTACGATTAGCCCAAAAAGAAAGGAGTGAAAATTCTAAAATGCAAATATTTATTATTTAATTGTACCATAAATACTATTTCTGTGATAATGTAAATAAACAGATAAACTAAATCAAACTCATCATGGTGTAAATATTCTTTCCATCTGCAATTAACTTACTGTTCTAATTTAATTGGTCCAATTTTAGTACAATGCAGTGTTAGTTAACGCAATCTCCGATTTAATCTCAAATCTCATTTCCTGCCTTCAAAATAATAAGTAGAAAATTATGAAAAAAGCGTAACATCATTTTCACTTTTTCTTTAATATTTAGGTTGTACCAATTTAATTACTATCTAAGATTATGCTAGGAGATAGTTACATAAAAGAGAGGTAGCATGAAATTTACAAAAACGATACAAACTCACATTTCGCTTAACTGAAGGCAATCACCTATTTAATAGAATTGAAGGTTACCATGTCAATTATACAATTTTTCGAACCGTTATTAATGAGGGGTATATACTAAAATAGAAATTGAAAAAAGTACGACGAACTGACAGAAACGAACCATGTCAATATTCAAAAAATGACCGTGATTAAACGTACAAGGTTTTTGTAATAAGATTACCCATAGAAAGTGTTGATAGTCGATGATGTTATTCTTTGTAATGTGTGTTTTATATTAACTACGTGTTTTGCAAGGTAAATTCTCTAGGATGTGGATTGCAGAATGTTCTGTGCGTTTAATTAGAATTGTAAACGCGTGACCTTAGGCGACAATTGTAAATGGGAATAAAGAAATACAAAACAAAGTCCGATGTCTTGCTCCGGTATTCTGATGAATCACGTACTCCTCGGAGTGGGGTAACGCAATTACCCCAGCTTAAATTTGTCTGCTAACAACTGAACCCGATTTATTTCTTTTCTGTTTACATGTTAACCAGCGACAAAAAGCGAGTTCATGATTTTGGACTGTCCGTCCGTCCATCTGTGTAACTTTGTGAGGGTGTGTATGTATGTGAATGGGAGGAAGGGTCTCCAGACTGCAAACGCAGGTACACGGTGACGTAATGGGCCTTGGCTCATCTGTGAAGGAGTGGGAGAGTTTTATACCAGACGGAACAGTTATAAAATCTTTTCAGGAGACCGGTGGCGGTAGACAATGAAAAGTACGGATTTATATTTGCACAGAATAATAATAAAATAATAATAAAAGATGAGTATTTGCGGATACAGCTGAAATACCCCAATTTTCAACTGGCGCTCGAGCCCGAACGGTTCATCGAGGAAAAAAAACTAAATAGTGGGGTCTGTAGGAAATTTTATGTACTTTCATTTTGAATAGGAAGGTTATTTTCGAATAGTTGATTGTTTTCAAGTTGTAAGCACAAAACTGCCAAAAAAATATCTTTTTCAACTTCTTTTGTGTTTTTTTCAATGTTGCGTCAAGAAATTTTGTTGGCAAACCTCAGATTCGGATTCAGCACCCCAAAAAACATGTAGAATCAAAGAAATCAAAACTACCCCACAACTTTCCCGCTAGATGCCCGTTTGAGCACAGATGGCCTGTATTATATATGTAATGATGAAAATGTAAAATGCGTACAAAAAAACAGTGTTATATACCTATATCGTATCTTACTTGTGGTTAAATTGCCAACAATGAATTGGCATTTTCAGAACAAATACCTATACCGACATTTTTGAAATGTTATGCTAGTTAGTTACGCGTAAAATTTAAACAAAATGAATATTTTTTAATTTATGGAAGGTGGCGTAATTTAATTTTATTTACGTATGCAAGCATTTGCAATGTTAAAAAGAAGATTAGCAAATACTTTTTACAAATAAAAATTACCCTTCTTC